CTTTTCCACAACATTCTAATTTATTGAGATGCACCTGTACATACACACACACATGCACTCACACACATACATTATACATGTACGAGTATAATATATGTACATATGATACATGTAATAAACAATTACTTAAACAATAGCTGTCCCAAACATACAATAAACAAACTTGGATAAACACTAAAGTGTTAAATATGTGAAATACATGAAAGTCTTTGCATCACTTTCTTTAGATAACACTTGAAACCAGCACCCCACCTCAACTGACTGCATATACATGTTCGTGTGCTGCTGGAAGAAGTTTGTGCAACCATCTGGTTGCATTACTTTACCAGACAGCACATTTTAGTACGCTAGGCACCAAGAATGTTCCAGCTGCCCTTGCATGCACAAGCAAGCAGCAGGCCTGGCATAGACCCCGCACCCTGGTAAAATGAAAAAGAAAACTACTGATCCTTCAAACTGTTTTAATTTGACAGATAACAATAAATAAAGCAGTACGAAATAAGGCAGCATTAATAATAATAATAAAAATATATATATATAAATTTAAAGTGCATAATGTGCAAATCAGATTACAATCCCATACAATATATATAAATGTTTTGTCAGGGCATAACTCCAGAACCAGTGGATGAGCTTGTGGTGCGCAAGCCAAAAGCCTCTGGTAGGAGCAGTGTGCAGTCAACTCTGTACAAAGCATATGGAGGTACTCTCCAAATACTACTAAAACACATTTTCGAAATAGTTAACAATTAACACAGTGAGACAAACATTTTGTTTTAGGACCTTTGCCTGATAATGATGTGATTGCTGGAGCAGCATCCCTCATTTCCCTTCGACCTCAACCACTAATCGCAAAGATTGTTGATGGGATGTCTGCTGTAACCATGGTTTCATCAAAATTTGGAGCGGTCCCAAAAGGTTCACTGCTTTCTTACCAGTGTCCTGCTGTGCTGCCAACGGATGTGCTTACCCATCCAAATGCACCAGAATTCCCCCCATTACCTGTCCCACAATACACACTTCCACAATATCATTTTGTCCCTGGCAGCTGGGCTGAACTCATGCATATGCAGAGCCTGGAGGTGACACCTGAAATGTCAGGGATCATTGAGGAGGGAACACGGGATCAATCCAAAAGCCCACTCTGGTTTAGCATGCGTCGCCTCCGGCTTACAGCAAGCAAGTTCTACGAAGCAGCTCGTGTGAGGTCAGAATCCACTGCAAAAACACTTGCTGGCCGGATCATTAAAGGTGCCCCCCAGACTAAAGCAATGCGTAGAGGAGTGGAACCTGAGCCAGAGGTTCTTCGCCGCTATGCTGAGACCTTCAATGTCAATGTACTTCCATGCGGTCTCATGATCCACCCCGAAGCTCCACACCTTGGTGCTAGTCCAGATGGCAAGGTGGTAGACCCAAATGAAGACCCTCCCTATGGCCTGGTAGAAGTTAAGTGCCCTGATGTGAAAGACATAGGAGAGGCATCACACACCGAGTTTGTTGGGGGCCAAGCAAAACTAAGGAAATCACACACCTACCACTGGCAAGTCCAGGGTCAGCTGATGGTCACTGGCTTATCTTGGTGTGATCTGGTGACAAATACTAGGGGTGACTTCACTGTGGAGAGAGTATGGATAAATGATGAGCTGATCCAAGAAATCAAGGCTAAAGCTGATGAATTCTACTTTGGCACATACATTCATGTTTTGCTAGGGAGAAAATATGCAAGAAGTGTTGCCTAACCAATGATGTTTCTATCATTCACAGTTAAATAGTTATTTAGTTCGCAAGAAAAAGAAATCAGATGATTAGTCATTCATAGTTCATTTAAGCGTTAAATGCAGTAGACTTTAGGATTTTTTTTATAGCTTGTTATTCAATTTAAATTAAGATTTATGATATATGTTTTTCAAATCTTTATTACCGAACATTGAAAATATATTGTTAAAACGTACTTTTCCCAAACTGGAAAGATGAGTCAATGACAGTCAAGGTCAATGTGCTAAAAATCTGAAAGATGCTGTTGCAGGTCATTAAGAAGAGTTAGTTTATGTTAATTATTAAAATGTTAATGCAGTCTCTTTTGCTGTTTTTCCCAGACACATTCATAATTATTATCTCTGCCAGTACGCTGTGGCAACCCTTTTTTTTTTTGGTGTGTGCGCTTGAGCGCTTTATGCAATTAAAGGCTCATTATTATGATTTATATGGTTTATTAATAAACATGCGACTAATAGTCGACTAATGCTTAAAATGAACAACTACTAGTCGACCAGAAAAATCTTTAGTCGAGGGAAGCCCTACAAATAATATAACTTACAATCCTGTCTGAAAAGGGTAACAAAAACTCAAACTTACGACAAGATAGACCACAGTGTCACAAAGTAGGCTAGGTTAGGACAAGCTTTTCTCTGCTTCTGTTAAATGAAACAAATATAATGTCTGTTATAAAATGTGTGTAGGTGATCTATTAATGCTACTTAATACTTGGCCACAATTAATAAGAATATTGACCAAAATATTAAATAAATAGAAAATGAAATACTTACCTAGCAAAGGAATGAGGTTGACTGAAGACTCTTGCAATAAATTTTTTTACACTGTTAATGAGAACAGAACAGTTGCTACAATTACACATTTGTTTTTACCTGGAGAAGTGGCAGGTAATGTTTTTATTTATTTATTATTTTTTTAAAGTACACAAGTAATTTAAGGTACTAAATTTATGAAATTATGTAGTGATATATCATGGGGCTTCTCTTATTAAACAGGGCAATAGTGACTACACAACTTTTATAAGAGGTTGTACCTGCTCTTTGTTGAGTGGCAAGGCAAAGAAAAATGTTACTGGCTGGTGAAGTGATGGTGAGCAGGAGGTGGTGGTGGCCGATGTTACTGGCTGGTGAGCAGGAGGTGGTGGTGGATGTTTTTGTTTGAGAACCTCGTGAAATACCTGAAGTCTTCATCAGACACACACCATCTATCCAGCAAAGCTCGAGAGATGGTAAGGCTTGACACCAGTTCCTCCAGCTCCTTTATTTTTTCCAATGCCTCATCAAGAGCACCTAATTAAAAAGAAACAAAATAAAACTTTTTTTAAATATTATGTTAAACATGACAATTCATTATTAGAGTACATTTCTGATGAACAACAACTCAATTTGGTAAATAACTATTACAGGTTTATGCAATTATATAATAGTTATAACATCACTGTAAATTCTTTATTCACCCCAATATTCTCACTTTACTCTTTATTCTCTTTATTCACCCAAATATATAATGCCATTATTATAACAAATCTGGATTTGCTAAAATCTATACGATGTTTAATAGGGAGCCAGTGCAGTGTTGACAGAACCGGGCTAATATGGTCATACTTCCTGGTTCTAGTAAGAACTCTAGCTGCTGCATTTTGGACCAGCTGGAGTTTGTTTATTAAGCGTGCAGAACAACCACCCAATAAAGCATTACAATAATCTAACCTTGAGGTCATAAACGCAAATTGTATTGAATTTGTTTATTGCATTGTCTTATAAATTTCTTTGTTCTGCTAAACACAGAGGAAGATATTTGGAAGAATGTCAGTAAAAAAAAAAAAAAAGATCTTGAACACCATTTACTACCATAGTCGGGAAACAGATCTGTTTAATTACTGACATTCTTACAAATATCTTCCTTTGTGAACAAACTGAGGGTGAGTAAATGGTGAGTAAATGAAGACCATTTTCATTTTCATTTTGGTGTGATCTGTCCCTTTAATCAAAAACACATGATTCAGGTAGTTAGCTCATAAGAGACTACAAGTCAAGAAATGGGTGTGTCAGACAGGGAAAACATACAACATGTGCAGTGCTGGGGGGCTCCAGCAACGTGGTTGAGAACCACTGAGCTAATCCACAGAGAGCAGTATAAACAGGGCTGACAAGGGTAAAAATTAACAGTTATAACTGGGTTTAAATCGTGTTATTGGTTCGCACTCTGCAGCAGACCGCGCAAATAATTATACAACACATTCACCTTACAAACATGCTCCATTGTTAGCATAACTGTGCTCGTAATTTTATATATCTAGCATTGTATATATTAGAAAATTATATAATTTCTATTTAATTAACAATTACCTACTGTTCTTCTGTCTATCTTTGTTGACTCTGGGCTATTTATTGTATTAGCTAACAACACGCTATAGCTACTCACCCGGAAGAGGGCGGCTGTTGTAATCGTGCTCCTGCACCGGCAACACCGCATCAACACTCTCCATTTCAACATTTGCTTCCTCCTGCTCACCACAGACACCTCTTTTTGCCGTCCGTGTCTGGCGTGATTTAACGTCTCACCAGTTGTTCCACGAAAACCTGGAAGGCACAGCCTGCGGTGTAAGATATTTACGCCCGGACTGTGGATGGACGCGGACTTCATCCTCCGTGAAGTGCATAGCACACACAAAAGTGCTGCCCTTCCTCAATGTAAATGCCGCCCCCTCATCTCTTCGTATAGCACAAATCCAATGCTTTTTCATATTTTCATCATTGGGAAAGCTATGAAACGATAAGTACGGTTGTTTCTTCTTTGAGTTGAAACACAAAGGTATGCTACAAGATTGACTACTTTTAGTCTCCGCCATTGTTCTGGAAGCGCTTTTACCGGAAAAGAGTTTTCCCTACTTCCGGCTTGCTGACGTCACGTTGTGAAATAGGCCTAAAGACAACGGTTGACGCGGTTTTCACAGCGACCGTCACAGCCCTGTTGTGCAATGATGTAGTTTCCTGACATCCAGACTGAACAGCATTTTCTCGACATGTTTCCATGTTGTTGTTGCTCAGCAATGGCATGGACGCGATGTTGTCTGGGGGTTTGGCAAAAGGAGAGTGGGACTGTGGGCAGTGCTCGAAGTGGTGACTGAAGGCGGTGACTGAGTATTTCTGACATCACCTTTTTATGGAAGTCACAACGGATCGTGAAAAATCACAGGTACTTTATGCAGGCTGTGTGCATTTGTCTGTGGATTGACTGTTTTGAAACTTATAAGGTAGTTACATAGCACCTAGACCTCAGTTATCATGAAAAAAAAGCCAGGAAATTTCAGTTTTGACAATATGGGACCTTTAAGTTAACAGTAAATTCAGCAAAATCACTCTCTGTGTCTCACTCTCAACTCACAGTGTATTCTCTAGTGGACACTATGGGGAACTAAATACCCAATCCACAATGCTGAAGGGATGAGTGCCTAAATGATTGTCAGTGAGAATATTGGGTACCAATTGAAGTACCAATCCCTAAGGTACACATCAGTGGCTGTTGTGACTTAACTCCTCCTAACTGTAGTCAAAAAGTTGACTGGTGAGAGGAGGCCTGACTACATCCTATGCTCAAGACAGCTATCAAGGAGGCTCACAGAGAGCCTAACAACTTGACATTGCTATCTAGAGCTCTGGAGAGGCCTCTAGAGTCTAGAGTGAGGAGGCCTATCAGAGGGGGCAGATTTTCAATAATATATTTTCAATTCAATTCAAATTTATTTGTATAGCGCTTTTTATGATACAAATCGTTGCAAAGCAACTTAAAAGAAAATTAAGTTTCTACAATATTTAGTGGTAGCTTATCAGTGGTGACTGTCAGTTAATGTACATATGGCAGAAATGTACGGAAAAATCAATTAAAGATGTAATCAAACAGACGATGAACACTATTAACAGCAATTATTATATGATGCAATCAAACTTATAGCAAAATTAGGTAGTTCTGTATGTGGTTTCAGGGTTGGCATCATCTGAGGGGTTATGACTATATGTAAATGTAAATGTAAATATTTACATTCACATTTACATTTAGTCATTTAGCAGCAGTGGTGGACAGTAACGAAGTAGTTTTACTTCGTTACTGTGCTTAAGTACATTTTTCAAGTATCTGTACTTTACTGGAGTAGTTTTATTTTGAGTAACTTTTACTTTTACTTCACTACATTCCAAAGCATAAGATCTTACTTTTTACTTCACTACATTTCATAAAACTTATCGTTACTCCTTATAATATATCACGTGCTCCGAGACGCAGAAGCAGTGTCTGATTCATGAACGAACTGATTCTTTTCAATTAACCCCTTAAATCGGTTCGCAAATCGCACCAAACGATTCATTCACGAATTGGAATGATCCGATTGGAGCTGTTCTCGAGTCGACAACTCACTGATTCAAATGAACCGTTTAGTGTGAGTCTCCAGTGAACTGAATTCACAAGTAAGAACCGGGAGATCTCGTGAGCGTGCGCGCGTCTGATGCTGTTAAATGTAAGTTACTAATGTCGAATTTTAGTATTAATTATTGTAACTAAAAGTCATATTTAGGTCAAAGCTGTCAGTTGTTGAGAAATAAATCTGCTGTAAAGGGTGAACTGTTTAAGCCCACTGAAATGCTTGAATGCAGACACATTAACATCAGAGTCTCTATGTTTTAGGTAAAAAAAAACATTAAAATAACACAGATTAAATAAAATAACTCATGCACGTTCATCTTCCCCGCTGCTGTAAAGTTAGCAGTTTTACTACAATACTATGATTTTAGCCCTATGTGACGTCTGCTTTTATATTGTTTGTCAGCACACATAGCCTAAGTTACTATGTATCTGGATCAACTAGCCGAGCAGACAAATATTTATTCATAACCATGCTGAAAATAAGTCAATGATGTTAGCTGATGACTGAAGTAATGAATTTAGGTAAAGGGGTGCAGAGACAGTGGTGGTTTTGTAGGCAAACATCAATGCCTTGAACTTTATGCGAACAGAATAAAATTCTGAATATATGCACCAACAAGGATTAATCTATATTTAATTTATACAAATATATATGTCTGCTTGAAAGAATAAACATACTTGTTGTATTCGAGTTGTTATAAAGAATGAATATGTTTTGTTTGTTTGTTTTTTTTATTGAAAAGAAGACCATGTTCTTGTTTCTTTATAAGAATTGATTTTATTTCATTTTAAAATAAATACGGATATATTATATGTTACAACAATTAAATATGTGTCTGCATTGGATGTTCAAACCTTAATATCATTAATATTAACGGTTTAACTAGATGTTAATATGAATGCTTAATTAATGAACTTCATTTGAACTAAACCTGTTAAATTTTAGTTGACTAAATCAACTGTATATTTAGTCAAATAAAATATTATGATATTCAGTTGACTAAAATTGAAATGAAAACTAGTCAATTCAGATGACTAATATATGACTAAAACTAAATGTCACGATGTAGAGCATACATTGTAAAATAAATATATAGCAAAAATAAATGTCATTTTGTTTCTTAATAAATTAGTCAGTAAGAAAAAAATAGTCATATGGCAGGCTGGTAATATTAGCTACCTAACAAACATATATAGTAGATAAAGTTAATAAGGACAATTTCATAATGCAGAAGTGCATATAGCACAACAGGCTTAAGTATTCAGGTAGTTTACATTATCAAGATTAAATTAAAAATTAATTGTTGGATGTTTAAAACTTCAAATAGTGAGTCATTGATTCATTCCATGTCGTCAAAAACATTGTTAAAATGTACATAAAATAAAATAACACATTTTAACAGTTTATTCTTTTTTTTTTTTGGTGGGG